AGTGAATTATGCAGTATGATGGAGCGGCCAATTAGTGATGGACAGAGAAAGAGACCGGCACACTTAATTAATAGTCTTTATTTAATTCACCTGTTGAATCTAGTGCGCAGGTCATGTAACAAACAAGGAGACGACTGTGCAATTCCTCAATGATATCAGGGACTATCACTTACAAGTGTCGTCGATATATGTCAAGAATAGCCAGACATCGATCAATCCGAATAGACTCTGATAGCTTGTAGGTCCCGTCCAGTGCAAATAAAGCTTCAAGAAGCCACGTCCGGTGTGAAGTGGGCTTTCAATCCTGCTCGGGGCAAAAAAAAAAACGGCTGCTCAGTAGAAGAGTAGTCTTCGGCAACACGTAGCGGGTAATTGAGGCAATATGGAAACAGTTGTTGTAACTCGCCGACGTGCATTCAGTGCTGAGAACGAAGAGCAATGCGGTCTTTAAAACGGCAGAATGAAACACGGGTTTCAGTAAACGAGACAGCGGTCTTTCTGCCGTCAGCATCAAAAACCGAAGCCAACCAAACTGACTGGTTGATTTATAACGTGCCTTGTATTACGGTAGCTTCCCATCCAAATCGCAACACTCGACTTCCACTCAGCTGCCATGTACGTCAGTATCACTCATCTCCAGTCTTAATGCATGAACTTAAAAAAAAACAGCCGTATAATGGTGTTGTGGAGTCAGCTTTATTTTCGATCAGGAAAACAATAGCGCATAGTTTCGCCGTAAACGATTACCGTGGTTTCCGGGCAATGTATATTGCAAAGAGAGACAGTGTCCGTTTACTACCAGTCTTACGTATGTACAAACACATTTTCCAGGGGCGAGGATGTGAATGGCTCTGATTTAGGAATAAATAATCACATACTCTTGACACGCATTATTTATTTGTAGCATTAACATAATATACATATGATATATATTTCAATTGATGTGAGCGGTTTAGCAAGTCACGTCTAGGAGGCGGGGGACTGCCGGCGATCCGTGTAATGTGCCAGCGCGATCAGCCAATCAAAACCGAGGTATCGCGAGAGAAAGTAAGACTCCTATCCAATATGGTAGGGTGTTATACGAGTTGTTGTAAGCCGTGGTTTTTGTTAGTGCATGGGCATTGTTACGAGCATCCACTCAAAATACATGATACTCCACGTTCCTACACTGATTCGAACATCGATATGCTGTTCTCCCTCCCGTGTTGGATACTGCTTCATTTGTTTTTAGTATCTGAATGGATACTCGTAGGCCGTGCCAATATTTTGTAAGTATTTAATATGTATTGGGTTTCGTTGGCGCTTTCAAGGCGCTAGTGAATGGTATTTGTTGAACGATCGATGGAAACCCTAGGTCGCCCGTACGTACCTTGAAAACGAGAGAAACTCACAACGATCCATGTACTCAAGCAGACACGCTTATTATTTTTATCCCCTCATCAGAAAAGGTTCGCTGCGTCGCTTGTTAGTCGCCGATGCCGATGCTTCATCTCATGTTGTTTTTCTTTTCCCTTTGCAGTGCGCTGTCTTCGGTGGTAGCGTTAGGTGCCAACATCATCTGCAACAAGATCCCCGGCTTGTCGCCACGCCAGAGATCTATATGTCAGACACGTCCCGATGCCATCATAGCTATTGGCGAGGGTGCTCAGAAGGGGCAGGAGGAATGTCGCTGGCAATTCAGGAATTCACGATGGAATTGCACGATGCCCGACAACACAAACACGGGAATGTTTGGTCACACGTTACCCGAAGGTAAGTCATTAGCGTTTCGATCGAAGTGCCGGTAAACTCTCAGACTAGATACGCAACGGTAGACACATTTGTAGGCTTAACCTGCACGTGTATCATACACGCTGGCATGGAGAGTTACATTCAAGATGAAAATATACGAAGCGTTAGATGGTATTTATTAAGGTCAGCCAGTTTATGGCTGGCTTTAGCTTACAATAGTGTCAACACACCACCATTGTTACAGGTATTATACGTTTAATTTTACATCTCCATAGTACGTATACCCACTTTCAACATCTTAAAAAATAATACCAATCCAAACAGTTCGGGCGCTGACTATTTGGTTATCCTCTTTTCTGATTGGCCGTTTTGGTTGACGGCCCACGCATTACAGGTAGAGTGGAATATCCGTTCCTTCAAAGATTATCGTTTACAACTGGGTAGTATTTTAATTTGGACAAGTTTATTAAGAACATTTCTGTGCCATAATTAGTTCTGTTGGCGCCCCTTCAGGAGTGCCGTTGCAGATTAAGTTGTCAAACTAACTACTAATAGGCCTGGGAATTCAGAACATTGTACTTGCCCTGCTTAGGTTTTTCCGGACACAAACACGCGTTTAGTCTCTCAACATAGTATCCCATAATTCCACCAGATATATAAGAGACTTAAGTAATGCGAAACGCGGCTCGTCACAACACAGAGAGCTAGATGCAGAGGGTGGGGACAGGACCAGGAGGGGGATGTCTTTCATTTACAATTATGCTCCACGACGACGTAGCTGTTCACTTAGTCCAGCCTTCAATCACTCGTCACTCGGAATAGAAAAGGCGACTGAAAATAACTGACAAAGTGTGTAATAACAGATTCGATGCCGAGTTTTGTTGAAAGTTGGCTGCCTTTTGAGGTGAAGGCAAGTGCCATTAAGAATTGGGGTAGTTTACAAAGTAAACGTCTGTTTTTTGTCGCTCTGTTTTGTAGGTACCTATACCGGACCTAAAGGGACTATCCTCCTAACAATAGAGCGAATTTTACACACACAGTGTTTGTCCTACGGCCAACTAACTACACATTAACTGATAGAAAGTGGCTACTGGCGTGTTTCACTGTAGACACAGTCATATCAATCTGTTGGCGTGTACTATGTCCCTTTTTTACTTCTAGACACACACTCTTACAATGGGCTAAACATTTTGTACCACGGAGTGCCTCCGGCGCTGCTTAAATTAAGATATGCGTATGAATATATACGTATCTCGATCATAAACATTTACGGTATGCGAATGTATTACTCGTGTGCTTTTTTTCTCAGTCCCACTGTAAAATTTACGATTATTCAAACTTAGTCTCAATTACAGTCCGGCATTACGAAAGTAATCCCCACATGTTCTGCTCGGTATGTGTGCTTCGCTTTCAGTGAACATCGTATCCCTTATCTACATGGATACGTGCTAAAATCAGCCGAGAGTTGGTAATCATTGTTGTTTTTGTCAGTTTATTTTAGAAATTCCACCGATCCCACTACCTCTGTGGATTCATTCACACATCACAAAGATCCTATTTCATTTGCCAAAAAATAGAGACAGACGATCAAAAGCCCCGAAAAGTTGATGCGAAAACATCGTCTTTGGTGTTGTGGATGGGGGGCAAGGTGCTAACGTGTTCTTTCTTTCGTTGTTTGTCTGCAGGCAACAAGGAAGCCTCTTTCGTCTATGCTATAAACTCGGCTGGAGTAGCGCATGCAATTACACAGGCATGCAGCCAGGGCAATCTAACGAACTGCAGTTGCGATAAAACGAAAGAAAATGGATACACCGAAGACGGTTGGAAGTGGGGCGGGTGCAGCGCTGATGTGGACTACGGTATTCGGTTCTCACGCGTCTTCGTTGATGCCCAAGAGACGGAGAAAAATGCCCGTGTTCTGACAAATCTACACAACAATGAAGTCGGCCGTCTGGTAAGTATTGTTTTCCCACGGGTTATAGCATTGGGCGTGTTACCAAACGCCCACCTCTAGATCTAATTAGCAATATGTTAGTTTCTCCTACATTTTGACACTTCCAAATCCGATTAAGGAATCAAACAAAAACGAAACCTGACGTAAAATAGTAACATTAACATACTATTCAAATACGGGCTATACGCGCCTCATCGATGAGCTCATCAACCCGACCCATCAACAGGTGGTTCCGACACGGTCCCGACATCTCCCTACCCTCCGTTCATTATATAACTCTACCTAGCAAAAAGTCTATTGGAATACTTAACCTATCGTTCAGTCAAGTGTCGTCAAATGCGTCCCATTATATGGGTGGCGGAATGGTGTTAGCGTTGTCACATGCCAATGCAAAACGACGTGACTGGGACCAGGACAAGGGAAACCGGACTGTGAATGGAAATGAGAGAATCTCTCTCACTCTGCGAAAAGTCACACACACCTCGCTATGGGAAATCAATTCAATTATCCATTGATGACATCGAACAAATGTTGCTAACATGACTTGTTTGGACTTTTCGACTCAAATTAAAGCATTTATTTATGCGGGGTTATTCTAGCACATACAAGCAAACGCTTCCCCCTTTCAATCGGTGATTTACAATAGTCGTGTTATTAAATCGATCTTGTAATTGTGTAATTTTCTCAAAAGGTGCCGCTCTGTTGTTAGACAATCACAAGTGTTATCAGGAAGACCGAGGGACAGTTTATACGATGTATTGTCACCTTAATGCAATCAACATACTAATGACCAGCGGCGTCGTTTCCCCGCGACATTATTCCATCCCTCCCCAAAAACGTTCTTTTTTGAAAATCGACTTAGGGATTACTAATGTTTCGTATTTCCGAAAGTGTACACTGTCACCAGTTACACGTTTCTGAAGGAACGGTCGAGTTAGTAGCCGTTTAGGAATATCGACCGGGAAGAAGAGTTACACCTCATATAAATAAACCTGTGTTTGATGTTCTATTCAAACTCTGGCGACAAATTGTCGACAAAGTATGCTTTCCGCTCCTTGCACATTATAGCGCTCGTTACAAGTCGTACACGCTGTCCATTTTCTAATTTACGATGGCCACTACTTTTACTTAATTTCATTCCGCGCAAAATAAATCACCAACTGCTATTTAAAATCGCACGTAAAAAACGAATCGGAGTTAATTTGCGTTAATTATATGATTTTTTTTTGCAGCTTCTGTCAGAATGTATGGATCTGGAATGCAAATGCCATGGCGTGTCCGGTTCGTGTACAATGAAAACGTGCTGGACCACACTACCGGCGTTCAGAACAGTCGGCACCACACTTCTAGAAAAATACAACAAAGTCAGACAAGTCGAACCAGTCCGCGCCAGGCGCACGAGGAGACCGGCGTTTTTAAAATTGAAAAATTCGAAAGATTTTCGCAAACCGCCAAGAAAAAGCTTAGTTTACCTACACAAGTCGCCCAATTATTGCGAATACGACCCGAAAGGTGGATCATCCGGTACGGTTGGTAGAAGGTGCAATCGGACGTCGACGGAAATTGACGGGTGCGACTTAATGTGCTGCGGACGTGGCTACAACACACACCAGTACACAAAAACTTGGCAATGTAACTGTAAATTCCACTGGTGCTGCTTTGTGAACTGTATCCAGTGCAGCGAACGAACAGAGGAGTACACATGTAAATAATAGGTACATACTATGAATAATATAATACTACAATTCGACATAGTCCCGTGCTGGGCCGTGCAAACTACACTACAATGAAACCATTTACGATTACACTGCCACTTGTTTTTTTTAGCATTAACAATTATTCACTAAACATTAACATTTGTTATAGAGTGTAGTGTCTTGGTGCTCATTGCTAGCATATTATATTTAAAAAAAAAACTTCTCTATCGTAAAGAATTTCTGGGGGAAATGTTATATTTTGACGTGTTGCTGCAAATCTAATTAAAGTGTGACGCCACTCGACTGACTATCATGAATCGAATTCATGATTAAATGCGGCATAATATAGCAAGTTGCATTAATAAAAGATAAGGTGTTATTTGTGGCATGTACGTTTCGTTGTATGTCATGCCCGGTCCTGGCTTGTAGTTGTATAAATATGATGCTTATTCGAAAGAGATACTCGTAGTGAAGTTTGTTAGTTGGAATCGTTGGACTAAATGCAATTGTTAAAAATAAACGATGTGAAATCCGTGGCGCAACCGATGTATATACCAATCACCAGAGCAGAATTAAAATATGCATTGATACTTGAGATTATATTCACACCCTTGTCGTAAATCTTCGCCACTTTGCGGCAACTTCGTATGTTTATTGCGAGAATGGAATAAAAACGACTAGCCCGTGAAAAGATGGTTAAAACCAGAGGTGAAGCATTGTTGTTATTAATGGCTGTAAATAGTCTGTGTTCACACTTACATCGCATCAATTAACATGTAGTTCGTCTATACAAGGCTAAAGTTCTACAGTCGCCGCCATACGAGTCTCATTTGATGTAACCAACGCGTGTATAAAATGTGTACATTATTCGTTTACACAAAATTCTACAGCGCCCTGCTTGACGACTGTGTTGAGACGACCAACCTTTCACAATAGACTATGATAAGAATGCTTTCCATCGTACAGGTTTTATTTTTAAGGGTCGACAAATTGGGGTTGAAGGCGAGGTGTTTCAGTTCCCGCAATTTCATATCCAGATACATTTCTTTACCGTCCCGGTAAAAAATTGCTCTACCTCAAAAGAAGATTGTGACAGACTTGGTGGCGTACTTGGATATCAACACAAGTTGTTTATTATAAAACACATTGTACTATTCTATCATGAAGCATTCCTTTCCCTTCATTTTGTAATGTACACTTTTTGCTAACTGTATTTACATTTTCTTTTTTGCTATTTATGATAAAATCTTCAAATATATATTAAAAATGAGTCTTGACACATCTTTATTACACAAACCCTTTGTGATCGGTGCATATACAATTTGTAATACTCGAGACGTCCGTCCCCAGCTGGCGCCCGTTGTCAATACTGTTACACAAAGTAAAACATGTTAGGTTAATTAATTTTAGTCTGAACATGTAATATGACCTGAATATTCACATTTCAATGATTTCTATCAGACTGTCCCATCTTTTTCATATATTTGACCATTAAACATATCACATGATATTCTCGAACCGTCATTAAACCTAAACGTAACCTGCCAAGGAGCAACCTTAAAGGCATAACTAATTGGTATGCAAACAAGGTAATTACTATGCAACATTTTTGTCCAAAATATGATTCTTGATGATTATCTCGGTTCTGAATACCTGTGTATGCCTAATTAATATGCACATAATTTAATTAACATGCCCGGACACTTTTCTGTAAAATTAGGCTGGTAATACCAGTTCAACAAATATATTTAATTAATACGAAAACAAGGTTATCAATATGCTCAGAATCATCCCTGCATTTTGCAAATACATGTATATGATTAGTAATGTTTGTCTGGGTTCTCAAGATATCAACGCAGCAAATATGCTAAAATGATATGCAGATAAGTTACATAATATGCACAAAAAATACATACCTTTCATTTGTCCAAAGCACGATAATTGGTTCTGGAGATATCACATGTATGCCTAATTAATATGAAAAATATGTTAATTCATATAAAGTGATTTGTAGGGCAGGTCAGTTCCAGCCAAAAACAGTATTTATCATCATTCATTCAGCAAATCAAATCAGTCAACTCCCAACCCGAAATTGCTATTCAAAATTCATGCAAAAAGGACACTTGTAGATTCTGTGTCATTAAAGTGGGAACAACCCAGATATGCCAGGCATTAGGTTGAATGCGGGAGGAGTACAATAACGGTTCTTCGTGATAAGTAACCACCCACCAATTCATTAATTCATAGCAGGACTCTATTGTGTTTGGACATTCGACAGATTTGCTAGGGGCTAGCTAACATCTCAGAAGGTACTCAGACTATATAGGTCAAGGTGCCGTTTTACGGCTCTGCTCCAGTTGTAGGTCAAGGTGTCGTTTTACGGCTCTGCTCCAGTTGCTTCACTATCGTGCGTATTATCGACCTTCTGAGTGGGTGTAGGCGTGGGTGTGGGTGTGGGTGTCGGGGCGGGGCGGGGTTGTATCTA